GTATGACGTTGCCTTCAGAGGCGACGGCTGGTTGGAACTGGACAGATCTGTCATGATGCACGAGGAAGAGCGTGAGGTTTTAGGTTTCGAGATCAGCACTAATAAAAGCAACGGATTGATCATGTGGCACGGTCAAACGCCGAACGACCTGACTCCAGACGATTACATTGCCGTTGCTGTAGTGGATGGGTAAACGATGCACCGCAATATAGAATATAATTATCTACTACTCTAAAAAAAACATTAACATTATTTTGTGCCTTGTTGTTAGATACGTGGAATATCAGTACAACTTGGGCTCCGGTCCTGCCGTGATTCGCGTTACCGCCCAGCGAGTCAATGACGGTGAACGACACAGGATAATCCTGAAGCGACAGGGAAGCGACGGTAGCATCGAATTGAACGGCGAGCACACCGAAAGCGGCGTCAGCGACGGACTTCAGCAGATCCTAAACGCGAGGGGTAGCGTTTACTTAGGCGGCTTACCCGATTACGCGATGGCTTACGGCAGATACCACGATGGATTCTCCGGTTGCATTTACACGCTGGAGGTGCAGGATTCAGGGGCTATCGATATCGGCGAGAAGGCTATCAGAGGAGTAAACGTTTCGCCATGTACCAGGTAAATGCATCGCAAAATCCTAATAAGAGAAATTTTTTTTCCTCTAAATCTGTATAAATGCATTGCAATTCTCTTTACATTAAATCAAATCACATTAAATTACTTCTAAAGTGAATCATCTTTAGAATCATCTTTATCAGCATGTTCCTCAATTTAGTTTTAAATTATACTGATAAATATAACACACTGTATATTAAATTAATTGTAAGACGATTTTCTGGGCCGTCTGGGACGAATTTCTTCTTACAGATTTTTAAATTTTTAGTAGCTTCATAACGTTTTGGATTATATTAAAAAAAATGTAAATGTAAATATTTAAATCAACAAAATATGATTTTATACCTCTCCTCAAGTCTGATGATATTTAAATTCGAGTAACACTGTGAAATAATTATGCGATGAAGATAATGTGATTAATCTTGGTGAACATTACTTTGCGCACGCTGCTTAGAGTGAGATGGATACCATCCTCACTGGTATTTACGGATGCGGAGGCGGGTGGATTCGACGCGTATGTACCACCGCCGCCCGTAAACATTATCCATCCGAAGCCCGCGTCCAATCTGGCCGCATACGACATGACGAGTTACTCATTATTGATTATACTTCAAAATCTGATCGCTTTGACTAGAGATATTAAGGAACAAAGTGTACTTTTCACGCTGTTATGCGTAGACGCAGTTAACGTTCTCAACGGCTTATTAAGCTAAACGATAGAAAATTTTCGATCTTGCACTACTCGTCGGAAATACGCATGTCTCTTTATACCAAATCGTTATTATCGAGTCGAGCGACGAATGTACAGTATTTTAAAGGGTGTGTATTTCCGCGAGTTTGCGTGCAACATGTACAGCTAATAAATCTGTAAATTATTTAATGCTTAACACACCAATGTCGGAAGTAACACGGCGAGACCACGGTATGTTAATTATCAGTCAGCTCAAACATCCTTCATACAAATGTCATATCATTACATTTGATTTTCAATTATCATTCAATTATTCATTATGTATGATAAATAAATTTATAACTAAATATACTAAATATAGCTAAATATCGATTACATCTGTATCTTTTTTTTTCACTTTACAGTTATCGAACTGATAGACTTCCCATACGTGGTGACTTCATCGGAAGATTAGGAAAATAAAGAGAAGATTTGCATCTGAAGAACATATTCCTGCGAATTAAGGAGCGGTAATATCGTTGATGTAAATACTTAACGCCAAATATATACGTTAAATTTTTCATATCTAATGTTTCGAGGAGAGAAGTATAAAGGATCAAAAGCAAATCTCTGTTGTTACACAGCTAATCAAACTTGTCAGAACATAAAGATGCAACTGTTTCCTTGCGACAATTTTATTTAACAAGAAACCTAACGAAACGCTAAGTTACATATAATATAAATGTTAGTTGTAATTTCCCTGTTATATAACAGTTACATTGTTGAGAGGGAAATTACAACTAATATTTATATTACACGTAACTTCATTTTTTTGCTGGGAATTCTATATGCAAAAATCGAAAAGTGAAACATAGACACGTGTATTCCTTTAATGATTTATTATGAAACATCTCTTGACTAGATAGCATGTGAAAGATACGAAAGTAACTACTGATGAAACGAGCAACAAAACAATTTTATATCCATAGATATACAAAGTCTATCTGCACTAATATATTGCTATTGATATTTTATTATTAAAATAACTATAACGTTTTATACCGCTTTATTTGTACAAAAAAAAAGATAGATACATTCAATTTGCAAATGACGAATCATTATTTTAAAAGCGATAGAAAATTTACGCGTCATTCTCGTTCTAGAATTCATCGTTCATCGTCAGTTGCATGTAAATACAAAGAAGAATGTAGCGATTAAGCTTTTCGATTCTCATGCCTTTCCTATTCTTCCTTTTATTCTGTTTTTTTTCTCATAATCAAGCTTTGCGATATCTTAGTTTTGAGAAATCAGCTGGATATGATGACTGATACGAAAGGAAGTGTTATAACGATGAAGTACATAGTTATAATTTTTCACTGCCATGTGCTGATTTATTCATATTTAATACGATAAAATTCTGCATCGTATAGGGAAATGAATTATTATTCACTGGCGTATGAGTGTAATCAAAGCTTTAATAAGACTTTGATATCTCTCCTATTATCACAAAAGACAATAAATTCTCATCACAGCCAAAATTCGTTGGAGAAACGATAAATGACTTTTTTCTATAACGATATTAAGTATTGGACTTTTACACATTTAAAAAAATGTGTACATTTTTACATATATTTATAATATAAAATGTGTAAGTTGCGGATTGATGTCGACTATTATAATCCTTGAAAAATAAGATACTTGAAAAAGAAAATTGATGAACTGTTGATTCTTCGAATTCAGATTGCACTCATACCATGATGAATACTTATTATTTATCATATATACGTAGGTGCTTACATGTGATGTTAATGAAAAGGAATAAGCGGATAATCAAGGGGACTGATAAATATATGAGTGAATAATTGATGATATCATCTAACGTATGTACATTTTTTTATTAAAAGTTTTTAATCAGCCTGCGTGATATATATAAACGAAGAAAGTCACATATGAGAGAGAATAGAAATAGGAATAAGAATGGCGTAAATAAAAAATTGTGTGTTGCTACATATATAAAATTTATATCGGAAACCTGCGTATAAAGTAAACCGTAATTAGCATTCTCTGATAATCTCTATATTCGAGATCTTATGAAAGTATATAAAACGTACAATTTGATAGTAATAACAATTTTTCGGCCATCAAAACATATATACGTATTTTCGCAATTAGATTATCTAAATATCATTCTACATATCAGTTAACGTGCAATATTTACAATATGAAACAACTATTTTGTTACATTTTTAAACAATAAATTAATTTTAATTTTTCTATATCATCGAATTATATTAAATAAATGGAATATTTTAGTATCAGTATAATTTACCGCTTAATTAACTGCCAATTAAATACATTTTCCTGTGTATCTATTTTATAAAATTATATGATAAAAAGTAGAATATCCATAGTATTATTAAATATTATACAGAAAAAATTCGCATTCAATACATTTTTTTTTAATTATACGTAATTAATATTTATTTCGTCAAGAGAAATCATTTAATTTATACTTTTTAATTTTTTTATATACATATAACATACGTACTATAGGGTTATTAATATATATAATGTTTTATTAATATATATTCTTTGCCATGCCATAATCAGATTGATCAGCTAAAATTGTTGCGCATAATAAAAACAATATCATTGAACGAGATTCTACAGATTGCCTTTGATATTATTTGAGAAGTGAGATACTGAGATAATGTATCATAGTTCCCATAGAATTTTCTACGTTCGCTACGACTCTATTGTAACACACTGTAAATGATCATGTACAGAAGAAGAAAAATCGATGCATATACTTGTATATTACATTTAACACACTTTAATCATACACTTCGACATCGAATGAACGCTTTTTGGATGTTCATGCAAGCATTAGTTACGTGACTACTGTAATATGTATATTGCGTTATATGTACAGGGTGCAATGACAAATATTCTGGTCTGAAATGCCTTCTTTATGCAATTGCGGCATTCGGGTATGAATAATGCCAGTGGCATCCTAACTAAAACACCTCAATTAAGAACGATGTTTCAGGTAATAGCTAGTATTGCTCCACCCTGTATATAAAATCATACTGAAAGTATCTACTATAACATATATTATATATAAATGTAGTTTATTGTTACATAATAATTCTTCAAAGAAAATGAGACAATAAATTATAATTTTGCTAACAAATTGTGTAATCTTTATTGTCTAAACATTTTGAATTTCTCTATTCAGAAATGTAATTTGTATTTTGTCACTTTTTTCTAACGAAAATTTGCAGAGAATATATAAGGATATATTCACAAATATTTATTTGCAAAAAGTATATATTATTATTTTTAGCAGCGCATACATGTAATCATTTAGTAACAAGTATTACTTATGTTAAACCTGAGAATTTATTCATACATAAAAATTTTTAAATATGAAATTTACAATTAAATGAATATGTAAATTGGCATCAAGTGTACATATAATTATATATCACAAATAATTAAAATTATTTAAATGATAAATGAAAACAAAACCAGTGATGGTGACAGTTAATAAGTTATCTTTTTATAAATGTATATATATAAAAAAAACTTCTATATTTGATTAATGAAATTAATTTCTATAAATATACAAAACATGTTTCTTTTAATATATTAAAATTAAATATATAAAATGAGATTTTATAGCAGTGTTAAATGCTACGAATTGATTTTATATCCAGAGATAAATGGAAGTCCAGTACCTACTTTTTCTTGATATTTAACATAGTCTTCACCAAAGAAATTTAATAAAGTCATTTCTTCAATAAGAACACGATCATAGAAGAAAGTCCATGACATCAATGTGTATGCAAGAATGCATAGTGGATTTTGAAGTATCAACTGCAATAAAAATTTATAAATGAGCAATGATAAAAATAGAGCCAAATGTCTAATTATAGAATATTTATGTTGCACCTGTGTTCCTATAGACCAATAAAACCACCCTACATAACTAGGATGCCTGCAAATATTATATACACCATGTGTAATAAGTTCGTGATTGTCGTTTTTTTCACTTTGTACGACATGATTAAAATTGTGCTTTGCAGTACAAATTGCTAGCTTTCTCATAATTTCACCAGAAATACATAATGCCAGACCAAAATAAGACACAGGAGACAGCAATTTCATTCTTTGAAAGTAATGCCTTTCTATAAGAAACTCGGTCCAACTAAGACATGCTGCTATTCCATATTCTATGCTATGATTGAGAATGAAACTGTTGATTGATAATACAGCTGGATTCGTCCATGCTATAGCTAGAAATTCCGAATAATGAAAACTTGTTAATACCGCTGTATAAATGCCAAACACCTGCCATGATGGCGGAGCATTGATCGATACTAAAATACCAATTCCAAATACATATCCAAGAAACAATGCTCTGACTGCCACCTATAAAAAAAAAGAAAATATTTTCAGCTTAAAGTTATAATTTATGCATACATATATAATAATACATATATAATACCTACTTGATAAGTAAAACCGCGAAATATCAGAAATGCGAATACATTTATGAGAATGTACTGCATCACATGTGGAAGCCAGATATTTGTAAAATATGCGGCATAAATATTGAATCCTAACCTGAATTGTAGTTCAGGGAAAAAACAGACTAGACTCGTCACGATAAAGCAAAACAAACTAACAGCTCCATCGCGACACAACATTTTCCTTGCAAATTTTCTCGTCGACACTTTCAAAGCGATAAACAATATTCACGAACTGGACATCTCTGACCAAACCAAGTACAGTACAGTACAGTAATTATTCTTATCTGTTTCTTATAACCTTGTTTCTTATCTGCTTCTTGTTACTCATCATGTCATCACCATAATTATACGATCTTTCCTTATGACAGAGAAGTCTCAATTTTGTGCGCTTTATTGAAACAATGAAAATGTTTTACCTCACACAGTTAAAATAATTAATCTTTTCGAAAAAGTAAACAAATCTATGAATGCCATAGACTGCCATAGACGTAGGAAACATTTGAACAGAGCCCAAAATACCTTTATCACTGTGGGGAGCAATTCTAAATAAGAGAAAAAATCATTGCGGCTATATCATGATTCCTCATATTTCTGCACATAATAGAAAAAGAGGAATAGTAATTACAAAAATAAGAATAAATATCAAATATTGAAAATAAAAAAATTAGAAATAAAAATTAAACGTAATGCGAGAAATGATTCTTGATTCTCTCTTGGTTCTAAAATATGCTCATAGAGGCGCTAGTGGAATTCCAGCTAAAACGCGACATATGATCGCTTTCAGATTTCTCTCCGATAGTAATTTTATAATACGACGATTGTGATTCAATAATTTATTAAAAAATGGCAACAACGGAAAACATCAAATATGTTTATCATTTGCCGTTCTCCGAACGATCGGAATTTTGTAAAATTATGAATCAAAATGATAAATGGGAAGAGCTGGCTGGTATGTCACACTATAATTGAAAAATAATACATATGCTTACATATTAACCTATTTGTTTATAATTGACTTTTCATATTAAAAGTATTATTTTAATGCCAGAATAAAAAAGTAGTATATAAAATAATACATATTACTTTAATACAAAATTTAACAACAGAGTATACTCTGCAGAGTATGCTATGCAGAGTATACAGAGGTAACAAATAACAAAGTTTTTCAAGAGGAATATGTTTGATAACTGCTTAAAGTAGAATTTGTTTACCTCAATCACTTGCTGGGATTGCATTGGATTTTTATCTTTAATAGTTATGTTATGTCTCAATGTTGTGCAATAATTTTATTTAATAATAATTGATTGTAGTAAATATTAGTAATGTAATTGTAGTAAATATGTAGTAAATATATAGTAAATATAATTGAAGTAAATATGTAATAATTATATATGTATAAAATGTTATAAATTAAATTTTTTAAATTTAACATTGACAGGCACTTGGATGAAGTATGATGTTTTAACGATACAGAGTCTAAGGAAGGAAAAAAATCCTACGGATGAACTTTTAACATTATGGGGTCATCATAATCATACAATAGCAGAATTATTTGTCTTGCTGTCCAGAATGCAGCATTATCAGTCAATGGTACCTTTGTTACCTTTTGTCGATCAGAAATTTCATCGACTTTTACATAATGGAGAAGCCAATTTGCAGAACATATCACGCAGGCAATTAGTTAACAAGAATACTAAGGATTTAAAGATTGGCACACAGAATTTTAATCAACGTGTAGTGCCGCAGCAAAGTGTTAATAAAATTTTAAATCAACCAACAGCGCAATTGGGTGTTAGTCCAAGCAACTCCAATAACTTGTTAGTAATTTCACCAGCAGCAGTAGCTGGTTTTTCACTGTTTCCACAAAATGGCAGTAGCAAAAAGATTAACGAATCACCACTGCCAAAAACAGAAACTACTTTGCCACACGCGAGTTATAGTGAACTAGCTATTGCTACAAATGGATGGAATCAGCACAATATATTAGGAAAAGGTGGTTTTGGAACTGTTTATAGAGGTATGTCTAATATATTAATGCAAATCATCAATCATAAAATATAGCAAAAGTTTCACATTTGAAAGATTTATAGATAAGATTAAAGAATATTGAATAGAAATACATCATATATAAAATTGTAAAATTATAAGAAAAAACAAATTTTACATAAACAAGAGAATTAATGTTAAAAATTTCTTATTAAATTACATTTTTGTACAAATAGGCATCTGGAAAAATACTGATGTTGCAATAAAGAAAATCAGACAGAAGGGTCCCGACTCAGATGAAAGTTATATGTTGCAGCTTCAGCAATCATTGAAAGAAATAAAAATTTTGAATTCTCGTGCTCATGAAAATATCTTACCTTTATACGCATATAGTTTTGGTGGCGAAGCACCGTGCTTGGTTTATCAGCTGATGAAGAATGGATCTTTAGAAGATAGGCTATTATTAAGACAAAAGACTAACCATTAACATGGATGCAAAGACATGATATTGCCAAAGGTATAGCTACGCGGATTGCAATACTTACACACTATCGGGAAGAAACCATTAATCCATGGTGATATTAAAAGTGCGAATATTTTGTTGGATAAAAATTTCGAGCCGAGAATTGGCGATTTTGGTTTGGCTCGAGAAGGTCCTGAAAAGGATAGTATGAAGGTAAATAATTATTATATAAATTTAATGTCATTTTCTCAAATCGCTAAAAAATTATAAGATTTTTTATTTTATTTTTTATATATTATTTTAAATATATATAATTTAAACACTAATTGTGAATATATATCTTATAATGTAATAGTTAATATAGTAATTATTATGAAAAACAGTTTGTGTTAATGATATCAATAATTATTAGATCAGTAGAATCCACGGAACCAGACCCTATCTACCAGAAGAATTTTTATTTGATAAAAAACTATCTACAAAAATAGATACTTATAGTTATGGCATAGTCTTGTTCGAAATGGCAACTGGTCTTCGGGCTTACGACGATTCACGGTCCGAGAATAAATTGTTACGAGATTTGGTTGATGATTGGGAAAACAAAGATCTTTATTTCTTAATAGACAAAAAAGGTGGTGAAGAAGATAAACAAGTTTATAGAAATTTGATAAATCTAGGGAAATGTTGTGCTAATCCGTTGGCGCAAAATCGGCCCGAAATGGAATTTGTTTTTCAAAAATTGAACAATTTATAAATTATCTATATTAATATCGTTTAAGATTGAATCAAGTTATATATTTACTCAAATTATAAATATGATGAATACAAGTATATGTGATATAATGATAAATTTTGTATAATATATATAATTGTTTTAAAATGCGCCATTGTTACTAAAGTTAATATTTTTGATATATAATGTTATATATATATATATATATATATATGTTAATTTTAATTGACTAAATTTTTATTTTAGTTAAAATTAAAAGTAACAAC